GCAGCTAGCACCATAAGCCGAACGCCAGGCACTTGCTAAAAAATGAAAAGCCAAGTGGCAAGTGGCATTCTAGCCGAGCGCCAGGCACTTAAGCAAGATAAGTGGTAGCTGGCACCATAAGCCGAACGCCAGACACTTGCTAAAAAATGAAAAGCCAAGTGGCAAGTGGCATTCTAGCCGAGCGCCAGACACTTAAGCAAGATAAGTGGCAGCTGGCACCATAAGCCGAACGCCAGGCACTTGCTAAAAAATGAAAAGCCAAGTGGTAAGTGGCATTCTAGCCGAGCGCCAGGCACTTAAGCAAGATAAGAGGTAACTGGCACCATAAGACGAACGCCAGGCACTTGCCAAAAACACGCACACGACAAAGTTAATATAAAAATATATATATATATTGAAAATGGGTTTGAACAGAGCGTAGCACAGAGAAAAAAGAGAAAAAAGAGTTTTGTCATCTCATTCATAATAAGCATTGGAGTTACAAAACGTGAAGTATTCAAGTCACATTGTTACAAAAGAGTATGGAATCGAAGAGTCTGGAGGAGTCCTAGCTAGCTGCCTCAGTACCGACAGCCTCCTGGTTGTGCTGATCCGCCTCCTCGGTCTCGTCAGCCATCTCACCCTCACGAGGTAGGGAATCAAGATGAATAACAGAGTCATTCTACTGGGGGCCAACGTCAGCAGTGACTATGGGAGATACCACAGTTGACGAATGAAGAGCGGTTAGAGGCTAAACGGTAGGAGGAGCTGTAGTGATCATAGAGGAAGCAATCTCCTGACATTCATCAAATATATGCTCGACTTCGGTGGGTTCTGGGTCAACATAGACCCCCAGAGGATCAATCCCTAAATCCTTATCAATCTCATCCGGAGTTGAGCTGGTCTGTTCCTCAACCGGAACTCGGTCGGAGAAATCATCTCAGAATCCCTGAGCATATCTAAGAGCTCCGACTCTTGAGAACCGAGCATGAAGAGCCAGCATTCCACCATTCACTCTGCTGATGGTATCAATCAGAGCGTTGCGCTCGTCCAGAGCTCTTTTCTCAAAAGCCATCCGAGCAGACTGTTCATCAGCCAGAAGGCGCTGGAGCTCTGCCTTTTCGTCTCTGATTGAATCACGTTCAGTCTGCCAGACACTCTTCTCAAGCTGGAGGGCATCCTTCTCATCCTGAAGAGAGTCGTTTTCCTTCTTCAGAACATCTCTTTTTTTTTCGGTTTCTTCAAGCCGAGCCAATATCTCGGTATTCTTGCTGGCGAGAAGGTCGTTTTCCTTATTAGCCACATCCAGGCTATCAGAGAACTTACGGGCCCTGGCGTTCCCCATTTCCACCTGCTTCTGCATAGCCATCATACCGAACAAAGTCTGCATAGATATACATGAATACTGGTTAAACCGATAGCCTGTTCGAACGAAGGCAAGACCAAATAGTATGAGAGGATTCATGAGTTAGAAAATAAAAGTCACCTCCATGGCAGATTGGGGAAAGCGGCTGAACACATCCTTTTGGGACAGACCCTTCGCCGCATCAAGGTCTTTCGGAGTCCACATGCTCCTATAATACGCCATGGCGGTCTGGCCATCCTTTAACATGGTCTCGTTCGGCTTCACGAACGTCCCATCCGTTCGGGTGTACCGAGGAGCCCATGGTGGTAAAACAGGAATAGAAGGAGAAGCTGAAGCAGAAGCAGAGGCACCAGCTGCAACAGGCCCGGAGGGGGCAGGAGCTCTGACTGGGCGATGCAAGAGAGCACTCGGCCCAGAGACTCGGGTCCTTCTTATAACAGGTTCCTCCTCAAGGTTGACTCCACCGTCAGGATGAGGCCTTTTGCCTCGTTCTTTGTCCCGAGCACCCCCAGCGGCAGCAGGGGTAGTAGTGATTTGTGGAGACGTGCTCGGGTTGGTAGCAGGGGTGCTGACAACAGGATCAATAGCCACCGTACTCGGGATGGTGTCAGAGATGGTGGCTGAAGAAGAGGCTGATGCAGAAAAGGAGGTTGCTCCAGCAGCTGAAGTGGCTGGGGGAGTATTTTTCCTCCTACCAAAGGAAGGAATTTGAAGCCTGCTCATGGTATAGCCGAGGGATGAGAGCACTAGAAGGTTGTCTGAAGTGAGGAGGTCTGAGCAAGAAGGAATATCGTTCAGAACGTATTTCTTCAAGTAATTACTCATATCCCTGCAAACACTGTAACTCAAGTCATCACAAGGTATGCCTAAGGAGCGACATAAGAAAGTACAAAAGCGAGGAACACATGTTTCGCAGGGACATTCGTTTTTATGAGATTTGAATTTCTTATATGAGGAGACAGAACAGACGCCAAAGGCGCTCGGGATTGGGTAATCCTCTGTAGCCGGCGAAGACTAGGCCCCACTAACACCCACAATGTTATCCCTCCAACCCTTTTCAGATTTAATTGTATCCGTACATATGGACATCTTGTCGATCGGGTAGAGGTGGTAGAATGGCTCGTTAGTTCGGATCTTACTGACCTTATAGCAAAGAAGAAGATCTATGAGGTCAAAGTCCAGACTTTTGTCACGAATCAACAGTAGCATAACGGATATGATTATAAAGAAATTGGGGTTTACCTGCAGGGGGGATATCCCCAGTCTATTGAAAACATAATAATTAAAGAAGGGATGCAGAGGGAACCTAACGACATTCAGTTGAAGGTTTGTAAATAAAACCTCGCCGGGAAGAAGGCCAGCACCGGTTATAATATTAACATCCTTAGGGCAAACCCTAACTTGGATGTTGTCAGGAAGTCTAAGTCTCATACGAAGAACATCTAGATCTACAACTATGGTGGAAGCGATTGAAGGATCTAAAAGGGTAAAAAGAAGTCTGCCGAAAGTAAAAAGGAACAAAACTAACCTCTGGGGTAGAAAGCAACAAAGAGCACTGCAAGATCGCTGGAAGAATGACTCTTGAAGAATTTCACCGGAAGAAATGTAGCACTGTTCTAAAAGGATGAGCAAGAGATTTGACTGATGATGGAGACGGTAAAAAGGCATGAAGTGGCATTCTAGAGCCTTATAAAGGCGAGGTGGACCCGAGGGCCGAAGCGTCAGGAAGGCGAGAAATTCATCGAGCCCCGGAACATTGATTCCAGATCTGACCGTCCGTTCCCCCATACGGGTTTCTCGAGCCGTCAACATCATGATGAGACGCCTTCAATAATTACCCCCTTATTAAACAAGGGGTAATTATGGGGGCAGTTGAGGAGGCCCGAAGTGACATGGGCCGGATATGACCCACAAACACGACATCCGGTCCGTGCAGATGGGTCAAGCCCATAGAGAGACACTGCCATATGGGCCGAACGCGAATAGCCCATCAAAGATGACCAAAACTCACAAAGGAACGGACCTAGATCTAGCAGTCCATTAATATTTGTAAGTATCTATAAATAGGAGAAGTAATGGATAGAGGAAGGGGATATTTTTCTGTTGAAATGTAGAGTTTTAGAGAGAGAAAGAAAAAACAAATTTCTTGCATCTTTAGGAACAACATAATGTTTGTCTTCAACAGCTTAGTCGGTAAGGTTAATGATGAATGAACCCACATTTAATCTTTAATCTTTATAGCAGAGAGTTTGATCGAAGCCTCGAATCAATCCTAATACATGGTCGGTGTCACCACTCATGATAATAATACACTAAAAGATAAGGCTTATTCTAATTAATTGTAGTCGGTGAGGACCTCTTATGTTAAACTCGTGTCCTGTGAAACCATACCATATTTGTTTGATAAATTTTATTTAGACTTATTAATCTATATTGCATGCTATAGAAATTGATTTCTTTTCATTTACTTCATTTTTTTTCCTTTTATTATTTATTATTAAATTTCATTTAACTAAATTACTTGATAAAAAACTCGCAAGCCCACTTTTACTTTAACAAACTCCTAATTTCACTTTTATTTTTCTCCACTATTTTAACCTCTTTCTTAATTGTTTTATCCCACCATTCAATTTCGCAGCTTTCATTGAATGAATGAATAATTTCAGAAAATTCATTCACTACCCAATGGATAGATGAAATGTGGGCACACATGTTTTTCATTTTTTTTCATTTTCATTTTCTTTTTTATTTATTTATTTTTATGTTGGGTTTTTGAGCCTTTTTTTTATTTATTATTCTAAATAATTGGATTGGTGAATATGCTTGACTTAATTAAATTATTAAATTGCAAGTGTCGGTGTTATTCTAATAATTAGGTTGCACTCGGATTTTGAATCTTGCACCCTCTTCTTCTCCTCTAATAACAAATCACTAATTTCAAACATTCTTGTCTTTATAAAAAATATATATATATTCATTTTCAAATTATTGACAAAATGAGTTAACAATTTCTCCCGAGTGTCTTTCAGTAAAAATTGGAGCAAGAATTGACTAAAAGCTAGAGAAAGTACATTCTCAGGTTGACATATTAAGAATAATGATAGGGTGTGTTAGTTGGGTTGGAACCTAATCACAATTATCTTCATAGAATGAAGCCACATTATGGATATACTCGTTTAAGGACAATGCACCATTTTTGAAAAACAAAATACATTGGACAGCGCATCCAATATTTACTCCACAGCCACGTACCCCTTCCGGTCCGTCTCAAAACTCGCATAATTTGTCTTTTCCTTCTTTCTTTTTTCAATTGGTAGGACTCCCATGAGTCCCAAAAATTAGGCAAAGACAAATTAATAAGATTCTAATATCTACGTAATCCTCATCCCGTTGGCATGTGCCCACCGGATGACAAATCCAGAGAAAGAATGTAAGCAGCAATTCTACATACAATACATACATACATGGGAAGCATTACACTACCTTCTACTTGTAGTAGGAAGATACGTTAAAATAACACACAAATACAACAACTTGCCTCCTCTGTTCATGTTCATGTTCTAACATGCCCAACAGTACCAATGAAACTAAAATCCCAACAGTACCAATGAAACTAAAATCCAATTGTTCCAGATCTACGCGTTTTTTCCAAGCCATGCATGTTGACTTTACACAATATATACTTACAAATCCTTCAATTTATTCAATCTCAAACTAACCTACCGTTTCCTCAATCACTTATACGCGCATATTTGTATATATATATACACACACACACAGACATGAACCAATCCCATTAAACACATTCAAGACAATGGCTTCTAAGTTCCTTATCTCTTCTTTCACCATACTTGTGGTTCTCACATTACTTTCATTCTTGTCTTGTGTGTCTTGTGCTGATGTTCGTCCGGGCAATCCTATATCGTCCGGGACCATTTGCCAGTCCACTCCTTATCCTGCCTTCTGCAAATCTATGCTCCCCAACAATAACTCCGCCAATGTTTATGACTATGGCCGGTTTTCTGTCCGGAAGTCCATATCATCTGCTCGATTTTTTTTGTCACTAATCGAAAGGATTCTTAGCCGTCCCTCTTCTTTGACAAATGGTGTCATTCAAGCTCTCAACGATTGCCAATTTCTAGCTGCCCTTAACATCGATTTTCTGTTAAGTTCCTTTCAAACTGTGGATACTACTTCCACAATTCTCCCTCCCTTGAAAGCCGACGATGTCCAAACTCTGCTTAGTGCTATTTTAACCAACTCACAGACTTGTTTGGATGGCCTTCAAGCTACAGCCTCGGCTTGGAGTGTCAAGAGCGGTCTTTCCATGCCACTTGCTAATGACACAAAGCTGAATAGTGTTTCTTTAGCTCTCTTCACCAAAGGGTGGGTTCCCAAGAATAAAAAGGGGATGACATGGAAGCCTAATAAGAAGCAATTAGCATTGACGTCAAATGGTGGCTTTTCTTTTAAAATGTCTAGCCGACACCAGGCCATATTCGAGGCTGTGGGCCGAAGGAAACTTCTTCCGACAGTTGGTGATCAGGTTCTGGTGAGTGACATCGTGACCGTGAGCCAAGATGGAAGTGGAAATTTCACCACCATCAATGATGCAGTGGCTGCAGCTCCAAACAACACTGATGGAACCAATGGCTACTTTTTGGTGTATATAACAGCCGGTGTCTATGAAGAATACGTGTCCATTGCTAAGAAGAAGAAGTATTTGATGCTGATCGGTGACGGGATCAATCAGACGGTGATCACTGGCAATCGTAGTGTTGTTGATGGGTGGACTACATTCAATTCTGCAACATTTGGTAATTTCATTTCATATTTTTTTATTTTTATTTTTTCATTACTAATTGCATTAATTAATTAATTAATTAGTTTGTCCCATATTAATTCTTATAAATTTTATATGTGTGTGTCAATATTTCAGTTGTAACCGCACCAGGATTTGTGGCAGTGGACATAACATTCCGAAACACAGCTGGGGGAATCAAGCACCAGGCGGTTGCTGTAAGAAATGGGGCGGATTTGTCTACATTTTATAGGTGCAGTTTTGAAGCGTACCAAGATACATTATATGTACATTCACTTAGACAATTTTATAGAGAATGCGACATATATGGGAGTGTAGATTATATATTTGGTAACGCTGCTGTTGTGTTCCAAAATTGCAACTTGTATCCCCGGCTGCCACTTTCTGGACAGTTCAATGCCATCACTGCCCAAGGCAGAACAGACCCGAACCAGAACACCGGCATTTCAATACAAAATTGCACCATCAAAGCAGCCGACGATTTGGCTTCAAGCAACAGCACTACCCAGACGTATCTAGGAAGGCCGTGGAAGGAATATTCAAGGACTATTTATTTGCAATCTTTCATGGACAGCGTGATAAATCCTGTGGGTTGGCACGAATGGTCAGGTGATTTTGCACTAAACACCTCATACTATGCCGAGTACGGTAACACGGGGCCTGGATCAGACACTAGTGGTAGAGTGACATGGTCTGGTTTCCACATTATTAATAATGTGGAGGACGTTGTTGATTTCACCGTGACTAACTTTATAGTTGGGGATAGTTGGTTACCTCAGACCGGAGTACCTTACAGCACTGGTGGAGTATAATGAGCAGCAGCGCCACGCCACCACATTGTGTTGAAATTATCATTTCATCCATGTTATTGATTCTTGTAGTTGTTTTAGTGAATTAAATAAGCATGTAAAGCCCAAGCTGCACCAAAAGTTAACTAGCTTATTTCATCCTTGTGCTCAAGAACACCCGTTCCAACTTTATCTTAATAAAAATCTCTCTAGCAAATCATGCATTAATCTTTCAGTTGTGTACATGAATTTGACATGGTTATACCAATTTATTGGGCAATCTTTAAAAAGGAAACAAGACATCAAGCAGGAATGGGATGGAACCAAACAAACAGAAGAAAAGTACGTGATAATTGAATGCTAGGATATTGTTGAATTACTAGTTGTTCTGCATTGGAAGAAGTGATTCTACGTGGAGAGTATGTACGGACAATAGGTAAAAGACATAAATTTATGGGCTTCAATTAAAAATGCTCCGGAACAGAAGCGTGTGCTCAATCATTAAAAAATGAGTAATGCTTGAATCCTGTCTTATTAGGAAAAAAATTGTCCTTCAAATTTAGTTGCCCCCGATAAGTATTTACCATTAAAAAAATATAAAATATGAATTATACCCATTTAACTAGATCCGTTTTTTCCCTTTTATTTTATTTTATTTTATTTTATTTTTTTTTGCCCATTTCTCTCACTCCCATCTCCCAATGCTCATGAATTAGAAAAGTAAATTGGAGATAATGCAATTTGCAGAGTTTGTAGAATAGCAATGGAGATGCTAAAAATGTAAGAAGAGAAAGCAGTGAAGCTGTAGAACTCAACACCGAGAGACATGAAAAGAAGAGAAGCAGAAGAGAAACCCCAATCTCAGAGCAAGGCTACAATTTGCAGATTTTTTTTTTTTCTCCCATTTATGCATTACAATGAATTCATGTTCTTTCCATAAAGGTTAGAAATTTACCCTTGTTTTGATTTGAAAATTTTACCCTTGTTTTGTTTCTCTCACATCATGCTTAGATCTCCGTTTTAAGTTGTCGCCTTCATTTCACAAATCCAAACTCTAGGAAGCAACCCATTGATTTCAGACAGTGTTCTAGTTTTAGTAAGGATTGATTGACTTTTTTGAAGTAGGTATGTTCAAACATTATATTTTCTAACTGAAATTATTTTTTCTGCTTTCAAAAAGCTTAAATTAACTATGGGTATTGTTGATTTTTTGTTCAAAATGAGTTTAATTCAAGCTTAATTGTGTTCAACTTTTGAGCTTTTTTCCTTTCAAAAACAAAGGTTTCTATTTGATAAGATAAACAATGTATTGATAGTATTAGGGTGAAGTTTCATTCAATTTTATTTTTTATTTACATATATATATATATATATATATATATATATATATATATATATACATAGTATGTTCTTTAGGAGAACCGAAGAAATATTCTCCAGATAATGCTGATTATTATTATAAGTATCAAGTGTTTATTTAATGTCATTTAGAGAGTACTTGTTTTGCTATGTTTACTTTGGACCCAACTGATGAAAGCTAAGAGAACTGATTGCATAACTTACTCCAGACTCCCACTCGGGGAGTGTGACAACTTTTAATGGAAAATATTTGAAATAGAAGAATATGAACTGAAGTATTCTGTAATGCATCCTCTCACAAGAGCTTAAAATTATGTATTCAGTGACTAATGCAGGAGATGGTTACATAAGCATAAGCAGTGAGCCATCGAATAGTTGTGAAATTGATATGAAAGATGATTGTCCTTCTCCTCCTAACGAGTGTTCCTCAAAAAAAGAAATTAAAAAAGAAGAAGGATGAAACAGAATTTGGAATGGAGTTTAGTTTAGATGAGGACACATACAAGTTCTATGTTTCTCTCTGCATTTGTCGGGATATGATTTGCTGAAGTGTTGGTGTCATTATGAAGATAGTTTATTTCAATCAAATAGACTTTTTTGCTCTATTGATTTGCGGCTTAAGTCTTGGTTTATTGTATTTGCTATTATGTACTCTGTTTATCTTTCTCTAGTGGTTCGATTTTTTTTTTTGTGATGCAAATTTATGCCTTTGCTATTACATTTATAAAAAAATTTACATTTAGTTTGATGTCTTGGGCAAAATGAAAAGTGTAATACACATCATCTGGAGTAAAAATTATTTACAAAATATAAATTTAATAAAATGAAACAATAATGTACAAAATCAAGGAAGAATCTCTCTAGTGCAGCTAAAAAAAAAAAAAAAAAAAAAAAAAACGTCCCAAATCAGTTTTTGAATTTAAATTTTTTTAAAAAAAAATACAATATTTGATAACCAAGCCAACTCTTCAAGAATTATCTAACATTTTTATCATCTCCAATGCTTTACTTTTCTGATTTATGAGCCTCTGTATGTTGTGAGATCAAGACATTGTGAGATGGGAGTGAGAGAAACAAAGAATTAAAGGAAACATTTGCCCGTGAGAGGAGAGAAAAAGAAGGAGAGACAAAAAATGGGTCTAGATAAATGGATATAACTTATATTTTATATTTTTTAATGTTAAGACAGGTGGCAAATTTTTATTGGGCCAACTCAACTTTGAGGACAATTTTTGTCTGAGCATTACTCCAAGGAATTATATACTCTTGGGAAATAGTGGTGTTCCTTATCGAAAAGAGGAGTACTAGTGGTGTTCTTCTCCTTTTCTCTCTCTCCGCAAACCCATTTTTGGGGCACAAAGAGAAACCACAGGAACAGTCGCCACCCACAGGCTGCACTCTCTTCCTCTCTCGCCCCTCTCTGCTAGGAATGGCAATTTGACCCGCCCCCGCGGTTAGCCGCTCCGCCCTGCCCCTTTTTGGTGGTTTTGGGGGATCGTTTTGCTAATATGGGCGGGGATGGTTTCATGTAATAAAAACCCGCGTGGGTTTGGTGTGGGGGCAGGGGAGGTCGCCCCACACCGTTTAGATAGGCAAATTACTTAAATACCTTTATTTCAATAGTATATATATTTACCATTATATATTAAGTATCCTATAATAATATTAAAGTAATAAATGAATTTGATTAAAAGGAAAGTTGCAATGGTGAAGAATTGAAGATGAGGGGGAAAAAAAAGAGCAAATCTATTTTAACAATAAATAAATTATAGTCTTAAACGAGGCGGGACGGGTACCCATGGGGTTAAAAATGTTAAACGGTTACGGAGATGGGGTGGAAAGTTCTCCTGTTTTTGCAGTTTCGGGGCGGGGATGAAGGTGGAGTTTTTAAACGATTGTGGGGGCGGGGAAGGGTACATTTGTTGGGGATACTTAACTCCCTCCAACCCACTCAATGGTCGGCTGTTGTTGAGAGTTAAATTCATTCTTCATCACACACAGCGGAAGTATCATCACATCACATCAAACAAGTATATATGGAGATAACAATCACACACATCCACGCACAACACAATATTTTACATGGTTCACCCAACTCTAGGGTTACGTCCATGGGAGAGAGAGATATTTCATTATTATGAATCAAGGAAGAGAATATACAACCACATGTCAAAACCCCACTTACTCACTCATCATCTTTTTGAGGCTACATGTATACACTCGGGAATTACATAGATTCTCCCCTCTCCTCACAACACTCACCCTTAAACCCTTTATATCTTTTCTCTCTTCTCTCTCTCTAGACCCCTCATACCCATCTCTATTTATAGAGTCTTTAAAACTTAATTCCTTATTGGATAAGTATTCCTCAAATCCAATTTCTTGTCAAATAAGGATCAACTTACTGTGATACTTCCGGATTTCCAAATGTGGGTTGGCCAGGCCCACGCCCGAATACCCGATGATATCAAAACAAATTGATAATAAACGAACACAGAGTACAAAAGAATAAAGAAGAATAAATAAAATGCTGACAAGAAACTAAAATGATAATCTAATACTAAACCTCAGAATATATTTCCATTAGTTAAAAAACTCTTCTGATACAACTGATTCTCCAAAATACACCAAAATACAACTCGGGAATCCATACTGTGTGGACCCCTAGAAAATCCAAACTAAACAAATGACAGCAATAACTGTCTAAATCAAGAAACTGAATTATAAAGGAACTCCTATGTAGCATCGGAAAAATGAAGTAGATTGATCCTCGCTCAGCACGAATAACCTCTACTCCTGACGAACACCTGAAAAATAATGGTGGGTTAGGCCCACAAATAAGTTCTACTCTACTACAGTCCAAGCAGAGATCTGATACACGTATACATCCTAGTCAATCCAACAGTAACTAGTAGTCCGTATATATATATATATATACACACACACACTAGAGGAACCTCACTAGACTACAGGGTTGTCTCAACCTGAATAGTAGGCAACATACAAAATGCACATATAGTGGGCATGAGTATCTAGACCTACTAGAGTACACAACTACACTATATCTAGCTACACATCCCTGACGATATACGTGCCATAACCACTGATCCTGAGACTCAAGTTCATATCATGATACCATACTTATATATATATATATATATATATATATATATATATATATATATAATATAGTAACCATCCTATCCAGTATAAATTAATCCTCCATAAGTCATTTAACTTGTTCAGCTGACCTGACTTGAATATAAGCAGGACTTAACATTTTAGTTAATCCATTCCCTTATATAATAAATTAATCCTCCATAAGTCATTCAACTTGTTCAGCTGACCTGACTTGAATATAAGTAGGACTTAACATTTTAGTTAATCCATTCCCTTATATAATAAATTAATCCTCCATAAGTCATTCAACTTATTCAGCTGACCTGACTTGAATATAAGTAGGACTTAACATTTTAGTTAATCCATTCCCTTATATAAAATAGGTAGGACTTAACTGATAAGTTAATCCGTCCCTAGAATGCCACCGTCTCATACCGGTGCATTAAACCACACAATCCAACAATTGATGTATCGATTAAGAAAATACATCAAACAATCCAGAAATAACTATGATAATATGATATCAAGTTATCACAAAATATGAATGACTTATTATTTATTTAAGCTTCCTATATCATATGTCCTACACAAACTGAATCTTATACATAATGATATTTTATTATACCGTCAAATAAGCATTCTCCATATCCAATTCATCCTACACATTTAATCTTAATTCCTAAAATATTTTAAAAGATTAAATCCATTCGTTTGTTTAAAACATTCAAATAGCAAGCATCATT